TAAAATATTCAAATGTGACATCACTGTGACTTATTGCTCACCCCACACTCAACACACTCGTCTTCAAATTAAAGGTGGGGTAGGTAATTCACTTCAGAAACACTTTTTGTTATATTCCATGGAATGCTCTTGACATCCCGATAGCAATGATAGCACAAACTTATCTCGTGCCCTCATTGGTCATGTGCGCCTTCGTGTGTGTTGGAGGAGGGGCTCTGTAAGGAAGTCAGCCCCTCCTCCAACACACACGAACGCGCACATGACCAATGAGGGCACGAGATAAGTTTGTGGCACAGATGGAAGGCTGACAGGCAGGTAGGCCATCCAGTTATTTTAGCCGGGCCGGCTAAGATGATTGGTCGTGCTTTTTACAGTACTACAGCTTCCACAGATGACATCTTTTTATGTATTTTTTGTCAAAGCACTTAAGATATTCATTGCTATCGGGATGTTAAGAGCATTCCATGGAATATAACAAAAAGTGTATCTCGAGCCGGTTTCTCAAACTTACCTACCCTACCTTTAACTGTGAATTCAATGCAGAATATAGTGGAAACGTTTTTGACTACACTCAATTAAAGTAGCTTTTTGGGGTTTTCCCCTTTCCTGTAGTGTGTTATAGGTTTCCGTGCATGTAAATGGCCTATGTTCCTGTTTGATTTTGAAAGGATAGACTATTCAATCAAGTTGACTTTGACTTCTCTCATGTTGAAGCCCCCTATTCAAATGTAAAGGTTAGACTTACACAGCATTTAGCATGTAGTCATTTGACCTCTATTAACTTTGCTGCCAAATCATCAACTCCATTTCCATTCTTCTTTTAATACCCTCATAGACATAAGGCCACAGTCACCCCACACACAGTAAACACAGGTCAAGTATGCACTGTTGTTCCTGCATAGTGACTTCTTGCATGCTTAAGGCGGTGCAGTAACGACTATAGAAGCAGTTTATTTTGTCTCTTCTTACACCAGTGTAGCTCAATGGGAGGGGTGGTGCCTTTTATTGTTTACCAGCCGTGTTATTTACTGTTGTCCCTAAAGGTCACATTTTACATAAGTTCTATGTTAAAAGGAGACACAAACTTTGGCTTTTACTTTGGTACTCTGCCAACAAAGCATCCCGTTGCTCAACGTCTGTATCGCTTCATATCTCACCGAATGGGATTGGAAGAAAAAACGAAATTTCATAAACCAGTGAAATGAATGTTTGAAGGGCATGCACATGAGAATGAGTAGTTTCCATAGCAACTCCTGGTGATAAAGCATTGACCTCGAATTCGTGTTGACTCAAATTGATGTGTTTCTCCATCTCATAGGTGCACATAAGCCCTCTGCATAAACATACATGTATCATGTTGTCACGTATACATATTGTATATGAACACACACACACACGCACGATACACTGCATGGAGACAAACTGCAAAAAGAAAACACACACACACACACAATACACTGCATGGAGACAAACTGCAAAAAGAAAACTCTCACACACACACACACACACACACACACACACACACATACACACACACACACACACACACACACACACACGATACACTGCATGGACACAAACTGCAAAAAGAAAACTCTCTCACACACACACACACACACACACACACACACACACACACACACACACACACACACACACAGTAGCTAATAGGTTGTTGAAAGGGAGAATGCCTCCGTGGAAAACCTTGAAACTAAAAGAGACACTCCTCAACATTGAAACATCTCGCTTATCTCTCGACTTTTCTTCTCTTGAAATCTTACATGAATCCCTAGATTAAAATTACATTAAGCATGGTCTCATCACTTGTGTTTAACTTGTGAGTCAAGTATCAGTCAATGGATTTAGGGATGCCAAATTGTGGAATGCCTTTTCCCACCCTTTCCCTCTATAACACGTTACAGAAAACCCCTCAAAGACCATTTATCTGCCATTTTTAAACTGCTTTTTTCTGTATATGATATCCATGCATCCATGTCGTATTACCTTTTATGTTTTGTTTTGTTTCACTCAAAGAGACATTTAACATGACTATCGCTTAGCTTTCAATGCTGGTGTATAAACCAGTATCCCCCTCACAAACAAGCGCACACTCAAATCCACACATACTGTATCATGTTTCCTTCATTTACATGTTATTGTTGTTGCTTTATGCCACCACTATGTCATTCATATTATATTTTGTATATTAATCTTGTGCTCTCTACAACAATGTGAATGTTAACTTTATTAACATGAGGCTTCATAATAGCCAAATGGGTTTTCCGCCTCTTCCTGCACTGTACATTATTTTTTAATTTTGAATAAAACAAAAGTTAAAGGTAGGTAAGTTTGAGAAACCGGCTCGAGATACACTTTTTGTTATATTCCATGGAAAATCCAAAGTGGAATGGCTGCAGGCTTCAACCTGCGCTTAAGAGGGTCACTGCCGAACAAAGGGGGTTCAGTCAGTAGCTGAGAGGAGGCACACACTGAAAGGAACATGGGGCCAAGGCAGTGTGTGTCTGCGTGTGTGTGAGGCAGGGGAAGTGAGTGAGGGTGTTGCAGGTTGGAGTTTTAATTCAACAAACGTTTCGATGAGAGCGTGTGTCTCATTTGTCTTGAATGTATTACTTCCTTTACTTTCCCTCACATTTTTAGAGGGAATGTGTCTAGCCATTATTTCAATAAAGTAAGGTTTAGGGTTAGGGGTAGGTGAGTTTTGGATGATGGTTGTAGCTGTAGTATCTTGGACTAAGGATGTGATATACTGCTCAAATAATAACAAGATTGGTGATTTACAACTGGTTGTTACAGTGTTTTTGGACCTGTGTATCCATTCCTACCTCCTTGCTATTTAGGCTTTGTTTCTCCTGTCATGGTGTGTTATAAAATCACCATAGTTCTTAAAGGTGGGGTAGGTAAGTTTGAGAAACCGGCTCGAGATACACTTTTTGTTATATTCCATGGAATGCTCTTAACATCCCGATAGCAATGAGTATTTTAAGTGCTTTGACAAAAAATCCATACAAAAATGTCATCTGTGGAAGCCGTGGCGCTGTAAAAAGCACGACCAATCATTTCAGCCGGCCCGGCTAAAATAACTGGATGGCCTACCTGCCTGTCAGCCTTCCATCTGTGCACAAACTTATCTCGTGCCCTCATTGGTCATGTGCGCGTTCGTGTGTGTTGGAGGAGGGGCTCTGTAAGGAAGTGGCAGATTTTCTCCGGTTGTGTATTTTCAAATTCTAGCGATCTCGAGCCGGTTTCTCAAACTTACCTACCTTTAAAATTAGAAAATTAACAACTGGGATAATTTAACCTCACATTAATTTCAACATTTCAAATACTTAAAAATCAGTTTGGTATTATTTTAAAGTTTCAGTCAAAGTGGTTTGCAGTTTAAAAGTGCAAAGTTGTATTTCTAAAATTGACTGTATGTACACAACCACTAAATCCACAGCATGTATTATCTTCACCCTGCGAAGCCTGGAAGTTTCAGTGTGGGAGGATGTTTAATATTTCTTTCTGTTGCCTCTCAAACATCCTCACGGCCTTTGGTCAAGGGAGTGGACATTTCCGTCCAGAAACTACAGATGAAGCAGTGGGATGAAACCTTCCACCTTCACAACATCAACAACATTCAGATATGGTGGTGAAGGAGGACCTCTGCTGTTCAACACACACTACTGCAACAGGAAGCTGAACAACTGGAAAAAACACAATCTGTAAAAGGTTTTGTTGTTTGAACTCCTGCCTTAAAAATACGACCAATAAAAACTCCTCCTGAATGTTCAGTCTTCAAACAACAAAAGTACTTTCAGCGCGTGAATGAAAATGTAATTAATCCTAAGGCATTATGTACGATCAAATATACGTAATATTGCCACGTTAAGGGCCTCATTATGCTTAAAACAACGAGAGAAAGAAAAGAAGAAGACATATGTGAGGCGTGTGGCGCAGTGGACTAGTGCGTTGGTCTTCGGATCAGGGGGTCAAAGGTTCAAACCCCATGGGCAAGACACTTCACCCCAAATTGCTCCTGTGGGGATTGCGCACAGTATTGAGTATGTAAGTCGCTTTGGATAAAAGCGTCTAACAAGTGACATGTAATGTAATAATAATGTAATATGGGGCCATTTAGAATAAGTATATGTGGGGTCTATTGCATTTAATAAAACCATTAAAATGCATTACCATGGGTTGGCCAACAGATGTCACTATTTTAATTGTTTTAAATGCTTCAAAATAGTTCTTTATTTTACACGTTTTGTTTGAATCAGAATCAAAATACCTTTGTTCGTCCCACCAGAGGGGAAATATGAATCTGTGTTCATATAGCTTAATGAACACAGATGCATTAAGCTATATCATGAACATTTATATATATATGCAAATTAATGAAAACGATATTATTTTGTTGCCCTTTAACTTAAAAACTGCTCATATTAGGATTTTTTGTGTGGATCCTATAAAAAAACGAATAACAGGGAAACAGGAAAGAGGAACCAGGATGTAAAAAAGGTAAAAAAGGCGAGATATATATTTTTTACAATAAATATGAAATATTCAAACACGTAGTTAAAACAAGATTATGGCAAATTACTCTGATTAAAATGACTCCAAATTAAAAGTGGAAAAGCTGTGCAGTTTTTAAACAAGCACATTGTAGATTAATAGAAATGTGTAAAACATGTGACAAATATTGTTTTTTTATAGAAGAAAGAAATATAAATATGCAAACATAAAACAAGAGGATGGCAAATGACAGTATATCCAAATTAAAAGTGGGAAATAAATGTGATACAAATGCAATAAATCATGAAATCCTCTCTGTAATCTCTCTCCTCTTATCTCTTCTGCTCTGTCAGTTGTAACCACCCCTTTGAACCGGAACCGTTTCTGGGGATTTGCAGCCCTCCCTATCGGTCTATCACCCTGACAGCAGCCACAACACCGATCCTCACAGACACACACACAAACTGACACACACACCGACACACACACACACACACACACAGCTGCGTCTTCTTCCACGATGCCTGGGATAGATGTGGCAGGTCTGCGCCTCTCATGCATCGGATCCCCCCGGTGGAAGTGACATTTCCCCCCTCAGTGACAGCCTCTCTCACACACCGAGCCCCGCAGAGATCCATGGTCGCGGATGCACCCTGCACACTAACCGGGGATCTATGGTGACTGACCGGGCCATCGCTCCTCTCTCATCGGGAAGGATATTTGGGGGTGGATAAAGGGGGTTAAAGATGGGGAGCACGACCTCTTGCTGTGTGTCTGGCAGCCCAAAGCTCCGCAGAAATGCGCACTCCAGGCTGGAGTCCTACCACCAGGAGTCGGATCAGAGCCCGGAGGAGACGGGATGCAACCTGCAGCACATCAGCGACAGGGAGAACGTCGACGGTAAAAACAAAATATATTCTGTGTTTGCATCCTGTCTGTCACGAGGCCAACATTCTGAGAAAAACGTAAACAATCGGAGAAAAAGTAGAATTTCTGAGAAAAATGTCAAATTCTGAGAAAAAGTCAAAATACTTAGAAAAAAGTCACATGTGAGGGGAATATGACAGCATACAGGGATAAAGTAATGGGGGACTGGTTTTGGAATGGTGTGCAGAGCCTATAGGAAGGAATCCTATACAACAATTGGAGGGATTATCATACTTTTACTATAGGAGATGGAAAAACAAACAAAATCATACATTACTATTACATAATAGAGACACAGAGTATACTGCATGTCCCAATGTAGGAATATCATTACAGACTAAAGGAAACAACCAGGGAAATATTGTAGGGATTGCTAATGATGCTGTATGGTTTCTAAATACCATACATAGTTACTAATAATTCAATGTCAAATATGGAAATATTCCTAACTCACCAAACCATACAATAAATTGCCCACTGAAGCTTATGAAATCCAGAGAACAAATAATTTGAGCTCCATAAAATGATAACAAATAAAGTTTAATACACTGCTAAATCCCTATGGGACTATTACATGAATATAACGAGCATATTATAGCCTGGTGACATGCTAGAGGCAGCACATGTAATTAATAGAGACACTAAAGCCTTCAAAACAAGATATTAAAGGCATTTCTTTACATTAGATGTTCACTCTTGACCTCCTCTGTGTGTGTTATTATTGGGGAAATAGCTGCTGCCTCTGTTCACTCTTATCTCCTGTAATATTGATTGATTGGCAGAAACACATCAGCCGACAGCACAGCCAGGCACATGAAACAGTCATGTGTGCGTTTTCACTCCCATGTGTCTTTACACAGCGAAATGGAGCTTCAGACAACATCCTGTTCATGAGGGCAAGCTCCTTTGTGCTGTTCTTTGTTTTCAGCCTTGCATGAAAGAAACAGCAACTATGGAGCGCAGCCCCCTCCATTGACACATGCTAATATGCATTACAATTGACCCATTCACACTGGAAAGTGTCTACTAAATGGGTTGCTTATTTTAAGCCAACAGCCAACCGTTACATATACATGGATTTTCTTAGAAACTGTATAAGACCCTTGTTTTTACAGCAATTGTACAGAATCTTTCACAGGGCAGCATGATTCAAAAAGTTGTTTTGCATAGTGGACATTGTATTTTGTAACTATATCGGTATATTACTCGTTGTTAGCTTTTCAGGCTGTAGCATAAGAAATATGGCTATGTCTCAGATGGTATTACACCAGTTTGTGTCTCAATATGCAAACTTATTACATTTCTTACACTTCTTACGTAATGACATTTGCTGTTTTGTGTATATAAGTGTGTCCCATTGCAAAATATAGCATTAAGAGTACCAGGATGGTGCAATTATAAAGGTAAAAAGTCGTCTCACACTCAACGACCGCCATCTTGGCTACATAGCGCATTCTCTGGAAAGCACAACCATGTACAAATAAAAGTTATACATGTGTTTTCTTTTACACTTTGAGTATTGTACACAATATACTGGTGTCAAAAAGAAGCCTCTGTTAATTCTGGGGTTATTGAGCAGTCTGTAATGATGTGGTTGCTGGCTAGCTAACTAGCTAACACTGAACGACCGTTGCTAACTAGCTAACAGCTAAACTCATCCCTTCTGTGAGCAAACAGCAGCCATACGATTTGAGCCACTAATACACGGTTGAAATTCACACATTTTATAATTGTTACGGTGCATGAAATGGCACTGTACTTAGGTAAGCATCCAAATTGAGACACAGGGAAGCAGTGAGTGCAATAATCCACTTTTTAACGTTGACTTATGATAAGATAATCATGCCCAGTAAAATGTATAACATCTTCTGATCTATATATGAGCATTGTGGCATTAAAAAAACATCTGCAGTCAGATGATGAGCTAGTCTACTATAATGCATTAATGCTCCATTACATTTTCATCATACCTCACTCTAAAAGCCCGTGTTTGAAGGCTGTGTGAAAATCCTGCTGTCTCCCAGATTTCTTTTCAAGAACTTTGTTCAAATGGGAATGATGGGAACACTTTTGAACAGTCATTCCTTGAAGGCATGCTTTCTGTTGCTCATGACTGAAGACGTTTAAAAAAAGCAAGCGTTAGAGAACATTTCAAACACTTCCTACTTTCAAACCGCTCTATAAAGAGGGTGTGACTGTCAGACTGTGTTGTGGTTTGTGATGTGTTAAAGCTAAATCTAGCTCAGCCACAGGAAATTATCTCAACGCAGAACGTTTCATGCTTATGGATGGCATTTTGGGAAGGAACTCAACAATGAACTTCTAGTTGTTATGAGGAAAAAAGTGATTTTGAACTTGGCAATATGTCCATATTATATCAAAATTGTGATATTAGACTTGATATCGTCTTAGACTTTGAACATCATAATGGCATACATTTATTTGTATTAATGTATTGGCTGCATTGCAGTACAGAATGATCATCTTTTAAACTCACCTGACTGTTCTATTATTGGCATTTTCCCACTTATTCATTATATCCACACAACTGATTATCATTTATCAAAAAGATGTTAATTGTATGAACATCCAGATGGATTTGAATTGTCACTATTTATTGCCAAAGTGAATCCCTTCAATTGCAAAGTCAGCAGGTTGGAAGACATATTGACTAGTGATGTCATTTCCTCTTGTAAACCTGAGGAGTGTATGCCACTTACATGCTGTACGCCAGTTGTTATGCTATTAACTGGAGTGCTTTTCTTTATGGCGTGTGTTTATATTGTTATTGCTCCTGTATCCCTTGCAGGGTGCGTATCGCAAACTCCATTCATTTCTTCTTCTCAAACATGTTTTGGATCATTACTTTAATGGGATGCATATATTCCCCGTATGTGCAGCCAGATGCTCTTCTAGCCGAGCAGAAAGAGTGACATGAAGTAGATTCAGAGACGCCCGATGATGATTGGCAGTCGACCAACGCTTCTTGTCGGGGATAAAGCCGCCCCGTGCTGAGAGGCTGTCTGTTTTGGTGGCGCAGTGATTGAAACCGGAGCGTGTCTAATGTGTTGGCTCCATTATGAGTTCACAGACTGTATGACAGAGATTAGTGGGTTTCATTAGGATCTGCACCCATCAGAAAACGTCTTCACCCCCCCCAAAGACAAACCCGGAGAGGCAGCTGTGAGCCTGTGTCGCAGCAGATAGGAGAATCCACCAGGGACGAACCATTGCCAAAAATGAATGCCTCAATTCATAGTTTGACGCGCTGCTTTCAAAGACATCATCTGCTCCTAATTGAATGGGCTTGCTCTGATGCTTTAGAAGGTTAATACAACCTATGTTGAAGAGCACAGTGATGCAATATAATGAGATTCTTAGCTAATTAGGTGTATTCTCCTTGTACCTTAATTAGCTTTTCTGATTCAACCCATTTAATTGTAGTGAATTTCGTCCACAGATTGGTCGACCAGTGTTATGTCCAACACAAAGGCAGGAGTAGGTCCTTACATGAGCGCAGAGTTGTATGGAGATGGTTTGTCTAATCATTAACAGAGTGACAAATTGTGTCTGAATCCGGAATCTGTTTTAAAATATTTTGCAAATATAAAACTGATCTCCAACTACATTCCTCAAATAAAAAAGATATCCCAATTCAAAATGCTGACAAAATAGTTTAAAAAAGGACCCGAGAGCTCATCTTGATCCAATATGTTTGATAGACTTTCCCTCTAGTATCTCCTGAGTTAAAATGTGTATTTTAACTTTATTATTAAGTATGACTTTCCAACCATTGATTGTCTATCATTGTTATCGTTCTTCTGACAACATTTTTGGGCGTCTTTGCTACTAGCTAGAAAAAAATACTTTTTAAAAATGTCTTTTTTTAGTCAATTTATTGAACATGTCAGAAACAAAACATACAACAATAATAATAATAATAGATATATTTTTTTCATATAATCATAATTATAACATAGAGAAGAAAAAAACGTTGAATGTACAACTTAATGTTTTAGAATTTTTCTGAAGAAACGTGTCTTTGACTAGCTTTTTTTACTAAGTTCACTTCATAAACAACCTGTATAAGTGCATAGGCCTAATTCAAACGTGTCACAGTTTCTGCTTGGAAACCTTGGGTCCCTTTACGGTCTAATACTCTTTACCCCAAATCTGTTACATTTCTCTCAAAATAGACACTGTTTTGTCTATTATAATCATGTTATGTCATCAAATTGCACCTAAACTGTACAGAATAAGTCACAGTTTGCCTATACAGGGATGTGATAAAAACCAGGAGAAAACTATAGGAATTTGAAAGTCTTGTGCAGATGCTAAAGGTCGTGTGAGGATGTGCAGGATAAGTGCTGCCTCAGGTTTGATCACAGTCTCAAAGCTGCTTAGTAGAGAATAATTATTTCTTTTTTGGACAAGCTGTCACTCATAAAAAGGATTAAAGGGTTCAAGGAGTCCTGGGAAACCTGGAAAGATTAGAGTAAGGAATATTATGTCACTATTGGACTCCTAAATGAGCTCCCAGCACCCTCTGTTTTTAAGAACAGATAATCCCTTCACTACATACCACCATCTTTTCCCTGGCCTGGGCTGTGGAGCTAAACCGCTCAATAGAGTTTCAGAAGGTGTCCCTTGAAAAAGAGATCTATGATCTCAATGGGACCAATCTGGTTAAATAAAGGTTTGAAATGAAATGAAATGAGAAGAGCTTCGTTTGGGGGAATTTAAGGATTTTGCTGCTCTGCTTGGATCTCATATTTTCACAGCGAGGTGTTTTTGGAGAGAGCATTGGTTAAAATCTTAGAGATCAGCATTCGGTTTCACATGCCACCATATTGGTCACAAGTTATCTTGCTATAACAATGTTACAAATATAGGAGAAGTGTGTTGATGGAGATTGAGTGAATTCACAGGAAAAAAGGCAGTAAATACCAGCTTTTCTGTGCAATCAGTGAAAG